GTTCCAGCTCCTTAAAAAAGGTGGGAATCAGCTTGATGAGGAGCAGCTGCCCGTCAAGCCCTGCGGAGAGAAAAAAAAAGGAAAAACCCGGCCTTCACCCAGGACTGGGAGTATGACACTTTAAGGCATGGTTATCTTCCAAGCAATTTTGGAAACATTTTCCTTTGTGCCTTTATGCTCCACCAAGTGGCAGCGAAGTATGAGCAGCAGTTTGAATTGGGTCATTCTCATGGGGCCCCAGTTTTAATTGGTGATTTCAATAGTTGTAAACTCTATTTCTCATCTCTCTCTGGTTATCAACAGTATTCAATTCCACTCAAGACAGCAGGTGTCTCACTTGTCTGGTTGCATTTAAGTTTAGCTCTAAATTAATAAAATGGAAATGAAAAAAATATTTATATGACACAAAATCATTAAAGAATACTCTCAAAGTGCAACCACCAATGTAAGTGTTTGTATTTATATGATTGAACAGAGAAATATATTTTTTAAATTTTTTATAAGTTCCGCCTAATTTCTTTCTAAATAAAACACTGCAAAACACCAAGAAATCCCCGCTTGATTTTTTAAAGCCTCAGACTGTATAGATGTACATCTCAACTATAACTGCAGCAAATTTGGACTGAGTCAGTAGAAGCATGATTGTTCCATGAAGATTTTAGTGGACAGTGTGACCTGTGATTTTGGCAAAAACTGTGCAAACAGTGTTTTTTTCCCTCATAACAAGGAAGCTGGTCAAATGATGTGCTTATTTTAAAGGCATGGTGAACATTTTACTACAAATAAAAAGATTAGATAAATAAGCATAAATAAATCAATAAAGAGATTAATTATAAAAGAAAATCAGATAAGTAGCTTTTAATAAAATGAACTGTGCCATAACCAAACTCCATTTTTATTCCATTCACTTCCGCTTTATCCAGGGCCGGGGTGCGGAGGCAGCAGTCTAAGTAAAGATGCCCAGACTTATTTTCTTATTTGCTTTCCCTTTTTATATTAGTGTTTATTCACACAGCAACGGCATCAGTATAAATATAGCAGGACCATTATCTGCAAAAAAAATAAAGAAACATTAGCTACATGTATTATCATAGGGACATCTTTACCACATAAGGTAATCTGTTCTGTTGCCCCAAAGAAGCACATTAATGTAGTAAACAGCCATAGTAGTAGACAGGCACCAAAGTCAAGCTGCCATTCGAGGAGTTAATGAGGTCTAAAGTAGTCGTAGTTTTGCCATTGCAAACCCTGCAAGCATACTCCTGGACACAACACATCAAAGTGGACAGCAGCCGCTCAAGTGGCTAATTTGGAGTGTGGCAATCAGGGCACACAACAAACATCGCACCTACTGTGTATCATCGACCTTGACTCAAATGCCAACACACAAACACAAACGCACAAACACATGCTCAGAGGGAGAGAGAAAAACAAAGAGAGAGGAGAGGAAAAAGCAGACACGCTGCATGGAGCCGTGAGGCATCACATTAGCGCACACTTGCCTCCATTTTATCTCCTGTGGTCTTTGTCAGTGTTGCCTTTTTATCAGTTGGGAGTCGGCAGAGACTGGAGGAAATGTTTTTGATGTGTTGAATTTAGAAACACCATAAAACTCTGACCTTTTGTGTGGCAAGCCTGGGAAAAAGAAATATCATATACAGTGGCTGCTGATGGAGCTTTCTCCAGGGGGGGCTATAACTTCAAAATAGACTTTATATACAAAATAAAATATACACTCACTGGCCCCTTTATCAGGTACACCTGTCCAACTGCTCATTAACACTTAATTTCTAGGCAGCCAATCACATG